CACACCAGTAGCACACCCTTCCCTTTAATGGCGTCATAAAACCATAAACTTTGCCCACCAACAGTCAGGTCGAAGCCTCTGACCAGAGCAGGAGAGATATAAACGCAGTGACCTCTAGATATTTCACTTTGAGGCTGCTATATTTGGTTCAAGGGACATAAACTATGTGTAGGTCAGAGTTCATCCCCAAGGCATCACGTATTTTCTACGCAGAGATCAATTAGCTCTAGACAGAAACCAGTTACTATATTGCGAGACTTTATGGGACTGAACCAGAGGTCATTTCGGGGGGATCGCGGGGCATCGCAGTTCCCCCGGTGAGGTACAGGGGGCGGGGCACATGACGAAGCCCTGCCCCCTGCTTCCAGCCGCCCCGCTTCCGGCCCTCATTCAGCCAGGAGGAGGCAGGAGAAGAGGGAGGGTAAGTTGCTTCCTCCCTGCCTCTCCCCACCCCTGCCTGCCTGGGGCCAGGGAGGGCCTTCGTGGGGCTTCCTTGCACTCCTGCCGGCCTTGCAGGTCCACCGCCGGGCCCCTCATGGGGCTCGGCAGTGGAGCTGCAAGGCCAGCGCCGGCGGCCGGGACCGTTGGGGGCGGGGTGTGTGGCCTTATGACACACTTCCGGTGATGTCAGGGGGTGTGGCCTTATGACATACTTCCGGTGATGTCAGGGGGTGTGGCATATGCTAATGGGTTATGCTAATGAGTTCCCCTAGCTCTTTTTCTACGAAACGACCCCTGGACTGAACCAAAGAACAAGCTACTGCTCGAAGTATTACTACAGAGGTAATATACACCTAAATGACTCAGTCTCCCACTTTGAACAATTCCTTCCACAAATGGCAACCCTAGGCAGTGATTTTCTGTATTCTTGGTGCTTGGGAGCAACAGTGGGAGGGCTTCTGGAGTTCTGGCCCCGCTGGTAGACCTCCTGATGGTACCTGGATTTTGGCCAATGTGTGAAACAGAGTGTTGGACTGGATGGGTCATTGGCCTGATCCACTATGGCTTCTCTTATGTTCTTAAAATGAGATTATTGAACTTGAGTTCATTCACACAGATTCAGGTTCAGAACAATGGGGGGCCCCAGGCTGAATGTTGTTATTCAGTCACACAGTCGAGTCTGACTCTTCGCGACCCCATGGACCAGATCACGCCAGGCCTTCCGGTCTTCCGCTGTCTTCTGAAGTTTGCTCAACTTCATATTTGTTACATCTATAACACTGTCTAACCATCTCATCTTCTTTGACCTTCAATCTTTCCCAGCATCAGGGTCTTCTCCAGTGAGTGCTGCCTTCTCATTTGGTGGCCAAAGTATTTATTTATTTATTTATTATTAAATTTATATCCCACCCTCCCCCGTAGGGCTCAGGGCGGCTCACATGGCAAGAAATCTTTGAGCTTCAGTTTCATTATCTGGCCTTCCAGGGAACAGTCAGGGTTTCACCCCTGCTCTAATCAAATAGATTATATTTGACATGACAAAGTTTGAGTCCAGTGGCACCTTTAAGACCAACAAAGTTTTATTCAAGATATAAGTTTGTGTGTGTGTGCGCAAACTGTTTCTGAAGAACGACCATTGGTACTCACCGTGAAGGGTCCTTCTCCTCTGAGGCTTGGAAGACATCTTGTGGGTGATTCCCATCCATCATTCAGGGAGGCAGGAATAAATCAAACTTCCTGCATTCTGTGGTGGGAGTCACCCTAGGCTCAGTTGTGGTGCTCCGAAAGCAATACTATTAATGTAAAGAACCTCACGATAAACTTTAGTATAGCATATTAACCACTATAATATAGAAAAGAAAATTAACCATAGAACAATAATAGGAAGGAGTTACAACTCGAGCTGCTAAGTTCTGGAATGACTCTCTTCTCTTGAATATAATTAACAGTAACAGGTTAGAAGAAGAAGAAGGGGTGATGATGTCCTCCAAGCCTCAGAGAAGAAGGACCCTTCACGGTGAGTACCAATGGTCATTCTTCCTCTGAGGTGGAGGCCATCTTGTGGGACCTCCCAGAGCAATGTCCCTAAATGTTGGGAGGGTGGTCGTCATCAGAAGGAAGTACAGATTTACAGCACTCTCCACCTCAGAGGGAGAAGCATGCATGCACACAAAAGCTTATATCTTGAATAATACTTTGTCTTAAAGGTGCCACTGGACTCAAATTTTGTGCTGCTGCTTCAGACCAACATGGCTACCCCCACCTGAATCTACATTTGGCATTGTACCTTTATGTTACCCAAAGGGCGGGGAGGGTCTCCTGATTATCTGGGACAAATTAGATGGGGAGGGAGGGGGAAAGAGAGAAAGAAATAAAGAAATCAAGTAGATGGGGAGGGAGGGGAAGGGAGGAAGGGAGAAAGAAAAAGGTGGAAAAATTGAAAGAGGTGGAAAGAAAGAAGGAGCAAAAGAGAGAGAGAGAGAGATGAGGGAGGGAAAGGAAGGAAGAGAGAGAGAGAACGAAAGGGAGGGAGAAAGAGAGAGAGAAAGAAAGGTGAAAAGAAAGAAATGGAAAGAAAGCAAATAGATGGGGAGGAAGGAAGGGGAAACAGAGAAAGACAGAGGTGGAAAGAAAGCAGATAAATGGGGGGGGAGAGGTGGAAAGAAAGCAATTTTAACTTTAAATGTGTTCTTCAACCCCCCTTCTAAAGCCAGCCGGTGGGGAGGGGGGCTTTGAGAATGCATTTAAAGTTAAAGTTGCTTTCTTTCTCTGCTCCCCCCTGAAGCCTACCCAAGGAGGGGAACACTGGCTGGGGAAGGGAAGACCAATCCATGAAGTATGCCTCCCATTTGCTTCCCCAGCCGCACAGTATGTGTGAAAGAGCCGCATGTGGCTCCCGAGCCACAGTTTGGCCACCCCTCTGTTAACGTCTTTCTGATTAGATTGCTAAATGTAATGATTTTCTCGGATGACCCTTCAAGCACAGGATGAGAGAGGCTATCAGGGTATCTGAATAGCCTGCTTATTAAGGTGAATAGGCAGGAGGATGCATGACCGGGCCGGGTGTGATATCATGCCAGGGAAGGGTAGTGTTTCATGAGAAGCCCATTGATGAGATCAGGTATTTCTGTTTAGGGTGGGGAGAGATCTGTTAGCAGGTCCACGACCCAGGGTCACCTTCCCAGAATAGTTTCTCAGGTTTGTCTCATACCAGCATCCATTTTGTTTGTTCCAGCTCCATCTTGGTCCTATTTCCAGGCCAGGCTGCACAGCACATATGATTTTGGGAGTGATATTTAAAAGAGGGGTGTCCTCTACAAACTGCCATTCTGCATGAGGGGTCTGGGTGCTAACATTTGCATTCTAATTCCTTTCTTTGCAACACCCTTCTCACCTTTTGAGGACTCAAGGATCTCCATTCCTCCTTGTATCTGACAAAGGGAGCTTTGACTCTCAAACGTTTATACCCTGAAAATCTTATTGGTTTCTAAGGGGCTACTGGACTCAAATCTAGCTGTCCTACTGCAGACCAATATGACTACCCTCTGAACCCAAACAGTTCAAAATCTTGACATCTCAAAGGGATTGCAAAGAGCTCCCAAAGGGCCTCCCCAAATTTGATGAACGGCAACAAAATGGCTGATGAAATTCAATGTAAGTACAAAGTGATGCACATTGGGGGAGAAATCCTAATTTCACATATGCATTGGTGGGGTGTGAGCTGGTGATGAGAGAATGCCTCTGACTGTCAGATGCCTGGGAACAGTAAACAGATCAGGGCTGTTGTCAGTGGGCTACCCTGTGCCAACTGGCTGGCCACTGATGGAGATAAGATGCTGCCCTTCGGGGTCTGATTCAGCATGGCTACTGTTATATCTTGCATCTAATTTACCATTATTATCACCAGCTTTCAAAAGTTAAAGGCAAATCAGATTCATATACACATAGGATCAAATACCATTTAAGATTCATTTTCAAACACCTTAAGAAAGATACTTAGTGCAACATCATAGATGGTTATGAAACAGATCTGTATTCTGGATTCCAAATGAGAATTCTTGCTTTATAGGACCCTGTTGTCAGCCAGATTTTAAGGAGTCTGGAACTCAGCATCATTTTTGTTCTGGGACAATCCACTCCCTGGCATGATTAGGGGAAAATAAAACACAGAGCACTAAATACATGTGCATGTGCTGTTCTAGGAATGTATATAAAGAGGAGAACAAACAGAATAAGTTTATTCTTAGAACAACTTAGGATAATATTTTCCAGGTTCTGCTGGTTAGACAAAAGCAGATGGAAGAGAGGCTGTAGTTTATGTTTTCCATAGACACAAAAACTAGCCATAAATAAAAAGTTTAAATCTGGATTTAAAAACCTGGCAACTGTTTTGATTTCAGTTAACAAACCTGTCAAGATGGATTTAATTTTGAAAGCTTTACAATTACCATTTCTCCAGGACAAACATGCTATCAATTTCCATTTTACCATAACAGATGGTGCTATATATGGAAGCTCCAGTGCCAAGTATATTTTTAAAATGGTAACTGATTACCATGGTTCATTTTCGAGATAATTCCATGCTCTGTTTTACATGCGTAGTTATTAAAACTTCAAAAATATAGGCATGGTATCCTTGAATTAGCTTGAGATATTTAAAGCTGAAAAGTTCATTAAAGATAACGAATAATAAAATATGCCTAAAACAACACACACACAAAACGTTGTGGCATCCCATGAAACCTTGATTCTCATGACAGTTGGGCATTCTCAGCTTCTTAAATTTTTTGTACATGCTGGTATCTTGCCTGAAGCAAAGCAAACAGATGGAGTTGCCACACTGGATTTGTGCGGCAAGCAGAAAGTCTGCCTGCACATGACTGGTTGCCACAGGAATGGAATCAACATCCTTAGCAATTTCAGAAGAGCATTAGTTTGTGAACAAGCCCCAGTTCTGAACATTCCAAGTTTAGTGCAGTGAACACAAATAACTAGGAATTAGTATCACAGAAAAACTTGAGGTGGTGGGATTGCCTCAATTGGTTGCTGACTAGATCTGTCTACTCTTTGGCATCTCCAATTCCTCCAGCAGTTATTGCAAATGTGGCTTCGTTTTCAGGCATTTCAGGGCTGAGAAAACAGAGAAAGTGGCTTTACATTCTAGATACAACATTTACGACTTCTTTCACAAAAACATGAGTTCAACAAAGCTGTCACTTTTCAAAAACCTTAGATTTTGTACTTGTCCGAACTGCCCCTAAAATGGATGACATGTAGAAAAGCTGAACATAAGTCCTCCTGTGGATGTCTTATGTTTCACCTGAGCTGCACAAAACAGACATGCTCAGTGGATTGATTTATATTGTTTCTGCCATCTTAAGTGATATTAAAAAAACCTCATTGCAAATTATGTCATTCTGGTATACAACCCCATTACAACTATCCTACATATCTAATGATATACAACCCCAATGTTGGGAAAAGGGTGAAAATATTGGTTCTTATTTACATTGCTGGATTTACTGTCCCAAAATTTAAATCTTTTGGAATGAAGTCACGAAACGTATAAAAGACATCACTAGTTGTACAATTTCAATAAAACCAGAAACCTTGCTTCTAAATCTAAGATTAGATACCAAATCCCATAGACAACAACAAAAAAAGCTATATTACTATTTGCTGCTAAAACAGCAATCGCTACCAAATGGAAGTCCAAACGGACCCCAACAATAGCCTTATGGCACAGTAAAATATGGAATATATATATATATTATGGCAAAATTAAACAAGATGGTGAAATCAATAGATTTGGACATAGACTATAGTGACTTTACTTTTGTATGGTTCCCTATGTTAGAATACCTTGTACCTCAAGAAGAAATTCCTGACGTAATCAATAAGTTGCATCTTTGGTAATATAAAGAGGTAGATACTTCTAGACCTTTAAAACTGATTAAGTGTAATATTATATAATGGCTAACTGTAAACATGATTGTTAACAAGAATATTACTTTGTAATCTGTTTATCTACAAAAAAAGAATAAAATTATAATAAGAAAAGAACTTCATTGCACACATTTTCCATGCTTTACTCCTGACACATTTGTCCTGGGTCAGGGCAGACTGGCCCACGACAACATTATGATAATCTATTAACATATACATACTCGAATGTTGCCTTTGTCCTCTTTGTTTCAAATATACAGGCGGAATAATTTACATTTTGATCAACAGTACTTACTGCTAGAGTAATTTTTGAATCTTAGCTAATCAACAGCTGTGAATTATAAATGTTGTTCTTTAGAGGGATGAATACAATAGAAATGCAAGCTTCAAGTAAAAATTAAGATAGAAAATGCCCTTTCTGATTATTTGGAATGTAAATCATTTAATTGAAATGAAGATTTAAGTTGAGTGCTTAATTTATTAATTCTGTATTTTTATATTTGCATTCAAAAGCAGCAGGGCAGAGCAATCCTGAGGCACGCCTGCCCTGTGGCACCTGGCTGTGGTGCTGCGAAGCAGCCGCACCACCGCTAGTTGCCTCCCTAAGGGGATAGTTATGCAGCGGCTGAATGGGAAAAAGGTGCCCCAACAGTGTTGCTAGGTGCTGCCATGTCTGTGTCCATGGTGATCCCGTCAGAGTGGTCCATTCTAGTGTTGTTGCTGGCTGGGGGCAGGGTGATAAAGAGGGCAGGCAGGAGGACCAACGGGAGTCCTGAGTCGGAGCCAGGGTGTCCATCACTGGCAGGGGGCAGAGAGAGGCGGGCCACAGGAGCAACGCTCCTCCCCTGTGAACCTCTCTTAAAGTGAGGAGGGGGGAATAACCTGTCAGCCTCATGGGCACCCCGTGGTGGGGCTCTGCACACTGAGTGCGCAGGGTTCCAGAGGGTGCTGAGGATCAAGAACCTGGCTGCAGTGCCCCAAAACAGGCATCCATGCTGCTGAGGGTGTCCTTGTGCCAATCTACATTTGACCCCCCCCCCCTTGGAGGCACTGCAGGAGGAGGGCCAGCAGGTGCTGAGGGGGCCCAGAGGTCCCCCAGCAGCCCCTCGATGAGCCTCTGTCCCTCACCTATGTCTTTCACTAGGACAAGAAGCCCCTCCAGGTGCCTGCCAGCCCCTCCATTTCTGCCTCCTCGAATGACTTCCTGACACTCGCAATGGCTCTGCAGCTGCTCCTGCTTGTTGGCCATCCAAGATGGAGGAAAGGGTGAGTGGGATGGGCTGTGCCAGGTGTGGGCCCCATATCTTGAGACTTGCCTCAGGGCCAAAGTCCTCCACTCTTCCATGGCACCAGCAGCCACATCCTCTGACAACAGATGGCCAGGTTCAGGGCTCGCCTGGGACTACAGTGGCATTTTCCTGTAGCCAGTGTTCCCTCTAAGCTGAGTTAGTGTGAGCTAGCTCACAGTTTTTTAGCCTCCGGCTCACACATTTTTGTCTTTGCTCAGGAAGGATGGCTCCAGAGCAAACTAATTTATGCAGTAGCCAAATCACTCACTCACAACTTTAATGCCAGTAGCTCACCAAGTCGAATTTTTGCTCACAAGACTCCACAGCTTAGAGGGAACATAGCCTGTAGCCCATCTGCAGCAGCTCTCGAGGCCTCCAGCCTCCGAAGGGAGTATCAACGGTGCGTGGATGCCTCTGCACTGCACTGAGCCCCTTGGTCCACCATGGCTATGGCCATGGGAAGCCCCCCCTTGTCATCCATTCTGTTTTTCAAAATGATTTGGTCCCCTGAAAAGGGGAAGGAATGACAGTGACTGCAGGGATAGGAATTTCTGCCAGGTGAGATGGTTATGCCATGCATAAGTTGCACCCCAGGCCAGAGGTCAAGGTGTAATTTCCACGGGCACTATGGAGCAAGGGGGGGGGGGGAGTTCGTGCGGATGTCCAATCCCTCCATAGTGCAGGCTCCCTGCATATACCTGATGGTGGGAGGATGCTACTAGTTCTGTGTGCACTGGGATGGCTGTGGGTGGCTAGAATCTGGCTTGGCACACCAAGTGATGGCATTTACCTTTATGGCAGCCATCATGCCATCAGGAAGGCTGATACACATATTGACTGTGATGTCCTTCAGTTTTGCTCTCAGCGGTGGAGGGTGTCCGGTAGCCACTGCTATGTGCCGTTTGAGCTCCTCATTTGCATACACAAATATTCCTAGGGAAGCTGGGATCCAGATGGGCCAAGTGGGCCTTGGTAGGGGACTGCCCCCTGAAACTAACCATCTCTGCTCAACATCACGGAAAGCTACCCACCAAGCCTCACTGAGTTGGCAGCCCCTTATGCCAACAGCATCATGTGTACACCCATTCTTGGATGGGTCATCAGCCCAAGGACCACAGCCAGGGCCAATCCATGAGGGAGCACCAATGTCATTTGTGTGGGTGATCACTGCCACGGCAGGTCATCTCCCCCCGCCCCCGACTGATCCTAGAAGGTTAATGGGGTGGCCATGCAGTTTTTGTGTGTGCGGTCTGTGCTTTGACCTGGGGGAACGGCAGCCTGTTGCATAGCCTTTCCCTCCCACCCGTCTGTGTCCGCTGCTGTGGCTGCATTATTGTCTAGATGGGCCCCCAGCCCCTGTTGTGTCTGCGAGGATCATCTGGCTTGTGTGGTACCCCCGACATGCTCCCACCTCCCATAGTCCACAACAAACACCAACATCTGAAACGCACTCAATGGATGAGCTTTATTGGAGGGGACCAGAGACAACGGAGTGGTAAGAGTGGGATCGTGGCGTTGACATGTGGAACCCCACTCGGTCCTTTGGTGCTAGGGGTGCCTTCCTGATGAGTGTGGGAAGGGAAGGGGCTGGAGGCTGGATGTGTCTGCATGGGTGTGTGCTGGCATGGGTGGGTGTGCTGATTTGGTGCACACTTGGTATCCTGAGCTGCTTGGGTTCCCAAGGGCATAGCTGCAGATGGTTGGGGGGAAGTGAACAGGGAGTTACCATGGCTACCAATTTTGCACCTGTTCTGGGGGCACTCCCACGGTGAAACTGCTTTGGGAGCTGACTAGTTGGCAACATGCCCCTTGGCGCACCCACATTTCCTCCAGTGCAGGGGTTTGCACTGTAACTCTGCCAGCATGCGGCTGTGGTGCAGCTGCGCCGCTGGAGGTGCACCGTGCCATACATGTCCTGCGCTGATGTAAACACCCTGTAAGGGAAAGGTTCCCTTGCTCGAAAGCCAGTCGAATCCGACTCTAGGGTTGTGGTGCTCCTCTCCGTTTCAAAGCCGAAGAGCCAGCGCTGTCCGAAGACGTTTCCGTGGTCATGTGGCCGGCATGACTAAACACCACGGCGCACGGAACGCTGTTACCTTCCCACCGAAGTGGTACCTATTTATCTACTTGCAATTTCTTGCTTTCGAACTGCTAGGTTGGCAGGAGCTGGAACTAGAGATGGGAGCTCACTCCGTCTTGCGGCACCCGGGTCTCGAACTGCTGAACTACTGACCTTCCACAGCCTGCAGTTCAGCGTCTTAACCTCCGAGCCACCGCACCACACCCTTTAGGCTGCCATAAATCTGAGTTACGGCAGCATATTCATCAGTTGGCTTCCTATTCTCATCCCTCCCACCCCAGGATTGCTCTATTAATTTGAAATCAAATAAACTGTGGTGAACATGCATGAAGCTGCTTTATACTGAATCAGACCATTGATCTATGAAGGTCAGTATAGTCTACTCAGGCTGGCAGCAGCTCTCTAAGCACAGTTCTTTCTCTTCTGATCATTTTAAACCAGAGATACCAGGGGCTGAACCCAGGACCATATTCTGTGTGCCAAGCAGATGCTTTACCACTGAGCCACAACCTCTCCATGCCCTTTGGAACTAGATTCTGGTTCTATTTTCTGATATCATCTACTGTACTACTCCACATCAATATTACCTATCGTATATCTTGGCAATACGCAACTCTCCTCTTCCTTTCCGCAAACTAATCCTTGTTGTAGAAGCATGGGCAAGGATGTGGCCCCCAATGGGCTTCTTGGGGTCTACCTGAAAGCTAAGTCAAACAATAACAATCAGGTGAAGTTTGTAGACCAACTACTTTCTGTATACCACAGGGCTTGTAGAGTACCACTTATACCAGCTGCTTTGGTATAACTGCTTGGGGGACCTTTGCTAGGGGGCAGATCCAGATGCAGGTGGCATCATTAGCAGCAACACCAGGACCATTTCATATAATGGAGTGCATCCACACTGGCCACCATCCCTTTCCTTTCTTTGCCTTACTTCCTATTGTTATGATTTATGAAAAGAACAACAACAACAAAAAGAATGCACTGCTTACGTCATAGTTGCTCCTGGGTCAGCAGTCATCTGATTGGTCACAAATACAGCCACATTATATTCTGCAGTAAGAAACAAGGCCCAAATTAAAGGGGTGGCTATAAAAAGAGAAAATATACCCAACACTCTACCAGCTAGTTTTTCTTTCGAACATTGCAAGTAATAATGGGAAATTATGGTAATGGGAGGTGTTACAGCATTAAAGACTCCATCTCGTTTTGATCCTGCCCTGCCACTCGAGGAGCTCAGGGAGGTGTCAAGGCTTCTGATTTCCATTTTATCTCCATAACACCTGGTGAGGCAGTTCGAACTCAGACTTCAGCCGGTGTCACCTTCATGACAGGGTGGGGAACTGAAATCAAGACTTCCCAGTCTTAGTCTGGCACACTAATGGTCACTATCTAGTAACTCTAACAGCATGTTTCCAATGAACTGCCACCACACTGTTGTTACTAGATTTTCTCTAATTAATTGTACTGTTTCTCTATTGCATTGTATCCCACCCTGCCTCCAAGGAGTGCCGAGGATTTTAATCTCACAATAGCCCTGTGAGGTGGGTTAGGCTAAGAGACTGTGACATATCTGAGGCTTTGTGGTGTGTTTTTTTATTTTGGTTGTGTGTGTGCGCGCGCGTGCATTTGGAAGTCATGGTGACCTCTGGTGACTGACCCCTACTGGGGGCCTGGAGGATATTCAGAGAGGTGGCTGAATAAGCCCTGCCCCCACCTCCTGCCTCTTCACGACCCCATGGACCACAAAAAAAAAGCCCACCTCCTGCCTATTGGTATTCCAAGGAGGTCTCCCATCAAAGTACTTGCCAGGGTCAACCCTGCTTAGCTTCTGAGATCTGACAAGATCAGGCTTGCCTGGGCTATCTAAGGCTTTATGGTTGAGCAGAAATTTGAGCATAGGTTTCCCTCTCCTAAACCTGACAGTCAGGGGTCATTTTGTAGAAAAAGAGGTGCAGGAGCTCATTAGCATAACTTATTTGCATATGCCACACCCCCTGACATCACTGGAAGTGTGTCAGAGGGCAACACCCACCACTCAGGCTCCACTGGACTGTTTTGGATTGCTAGCTATTGGGGGGGGGGGAACGTGCAGATCTGTCCTCGCAGAGGAGGGAGAGCTTGTACCTGAATAAAACTTGGTCTTAAAGGTTCCACTGGACTGTTTTGGACCTGTTGGCTCTGCAACTTACCTGGCTGCTTCTTGCTCCGTCTGAGGGCTGCTGGGAGCAGGGGGTGGGGCTTTTTGCATGTGCCCACCCCCTGGGCTCTTTACTGCCGGAGCTCCACTCCTGTGTGCTCCTGCAGGAAATGACCCCTGCTGACAGTTTAGTATTACATACTGTTTCTTTTGGCTATGTCTTTTTTGAAGGCAGCACTGGAAAGTGACAAAAGGCTACAGATCAACACCAGCAGTCTTGCTAATTCCAAAATGTTTTATTCCCTCCTACCTTCAGATATTTTCTGAAGCCTTGACAGCATCTGAGCAAGTTTCTGTTGCCTTTCCGCCAGTTCCCCACGGCCACTAAAATCCACACGGAACAGTGCCATAATGGAATCAATGATCTGCAAAGGCATGTGAGAGAGAAGAGAAATGGCTCTGAAAGCATCCAGGAAAAGAAGAACAGATGGCTATGACAATTAAATGTATACCAATAGTTTGAAAATGCCGGCTTCCTCATGGAATTTTGCAGCCACGTAGTCAAGCAATTCCATTTGATGCTCACCTGATGAGGGAGAAATGCCATGGAAAATAATCAGAAAGAGAAAAAGCAGTTGAAATGAAGGTGTACAGATACAGCATGCTTAGAAACTGGAGTGTCATGTTCCAGTAGACTCAGTGGCAGCATCATTTTACATAGTTTACCCTAACCCTTGGGAAGGGCATATCTAAAGTTCTAAAGGTCCATAAAGTTTTGAGTCTTCTGCTGCCTTTACAATAATTAGAAGTGGTCACGAAGAGCACCAGAACACCCCAGCTAATTCTGACATGGAACTCTAGCATCTGAATCAGGGAGAATCAACCATTTGGAGGTGTATTCAAGAAAGCTCTCAGTCTGTTTTGCCTCCTCACAAATGATTCAACTGCCATGCCCTCATCCTCTGAAGGTATATCAGGGCACTAAATCAATGAGTTCTAGATTGTGGGCTTTGTGGATGACAGAAAAGTGACTGATTTGAGGTATCATGCCTTGTTTCCTTTGAGCCTTTTTCCCTTGGAGGTGGACACCACTTACAATGAAATAGAAAGCCAGAATAATATTTGTTTTGTTAATGTAATGTGAACTTTTATTTCAGAGTGTGTTATGATGCCGATGTTTTCTCAACATCAGTCACTCTCCCAGCTAAAATAAAAGGTGATTCTAGAGTTGGGATGCTCTGCTCCCTTTTATAATTCTGGTTCTTTTCTCAGTGGGTCAGCCAGTGGAATGTGGCAGGAGTTCCCTTGGAAGGATAAGATGAATCTGAGGGGCCATAGCGCAACAGCAGAGCATTGGCTTGGCATGTATAAGGTCTCAGGCTCAGTCCCTGGCATCAATAGATAAAAAGGATCAGGTAGTAAGTGATGTGAAAGACCTCTTCTTGCGATCCCAAAGAGGACAATACTGGCCCTGAGAGACCAATGATATGACTCAGGATTAAGCAGCTTCCTGTGTGTGCCCATGTATAAGGTTGGAGCTGGCATGATTGAACAAACTGTCAGTAAACCAGTTTTCCAGCCATGATGCTAGTACAACCAAACACATTTCACAGAACTGGAATTCCACAAAAGCCTTATTGCTTCTAAGCAGGAACAACTAGTATTGGGGGAGGTGGGATTCCTCCAACTGAAAGGGAGCAAGAACAAGGACTTTCACATAGCCCTTCCCCTGAAGCAAGTGGGAGGTGTGACCTGGATTACCTCCACCACAGGAAGGAGAACTCACATTTGCCTATTGTGCTGTTTATTGGACTTCCAGTAAAATAATAGAATATGTGGAATGTATATTAATTAAACAAAGCACTTAGGCTGGGGATATTCATAGCAGCAGAATAAAACCAAACTTAAACTGCAAAGTGAAAAATGGAAGGAACATTCCCAGTGACTCTTCAGCACAGAGTGACAATGATGGAAATAGCAGTCTCAACGTAAGAAGGTTTCCAGGTCATCTTCAGTTGTAAACTTACTAGTGTATGCTCGTGCATACAGTACGTTATCCAGAACTGCATCCTGGTCTACATTGAAGCGATCAGCAATGGTGCGAAGACGGTCAGGACGACTAAAGTATTTCGAAGTTAAGGACTCCCTAGTTTGTTTTTTATATGTTCAAGCAAATAACCCCACTGGCAGCTCACATGCTAAAGTGAAGTACTTGGTCTGCATTAGTTCCCCCCAGGGCTCTAGTCGGGGGGGAGCTCTCAGGTACGGAGCTCCGGAAGAGAACCTCTAGGGGGCGGGGCGGTCACGTGGTGAAGCCCCGCCCCCTTCTTTACCCCGCCCTCTGCTTCGATCCTCATTCCGTTTGGGAATGAGGATGAAGCAGGAGGATAAGTAGCCGGGCCTTCTGACACACTTCCGGTGATGTCACGGGGTGTGGCCTTCTGTCACTTCCGGTGATGTCAGGGGGCGTGGCATATGCAAATAAGTTATGCTAATGAGTTATGCTAATGAGCTCCGGCAGCTCTTTTTCTACAACAAGACCCCTGGTTCCCCCCCTATAAAGCTAAAGACCTAGAGCTGCCAATCTCCAGATAGCACCTGGAAATTGTCTGCTATTACAATTGATCTCCAGACAACCAAGATTAGTTCCCCTTGAGAAAACAGCTGCTTTGGAAGGTGGAATGTGTGGCATCATACTCTGTTGAGGTCCACCCCCTCCACAGGCTCCACCCCCAAAATCTCCAGGTATTTCCCAATCCAGAGGTGCCAACCCTATAAACGACCAGATCTAAGAGAGATAGCTCTATAGTTGAAACCTCCAACCTGAAGCATCTCCTCTGTTTCATAACACAGTTTTTAATTGTCAGTTTTACTCTAGGAAAGCCTTCCAAACCATTTGTAAACTGTTAAAATATAGGATACAAGGTGTTTTCTGTGTCAATGAAGATAATCTTCCCACCAGTGTAACCATCTGCTGATGGAATCTGGGCCGTCACTATAATGCATGATAAGGAAAGTACAAGTTTAATATAAAGGTAACTCCTACAATATGATTTTAACATCTTACATGCATTACATATCTGGCATCATTCATTCCCTGAGACAGATCCCAATTCTCAAGACTGCTGAGAAGTAATCCAAATTATTTCCTTTAAGGCAAGCTCCCAAAAGCATGGTCATGACATGACACAATTTGGAAACATGTTCCAATTAAGTAGGTCTTTAAGAAACATGGAAGCTAGCACATTTACATTAAGGGTCCAGTTACATGTTACAAAGTCCCAAATGTTTGTTGGGAGTTTTGTGCCTCCCAGTTACTCACCAGCTCCTCACATTTGAGACCAAAGAATGCAAGGAGAAGTGGCTGGTAGTGTTGCCAGGTCCCCCCTGGCCACTGGTGAGGGATGGGGGGTGTAGGGTTGCCAACTCCAGGTTGGGAAACTGCTGGAGATTTAGGGAAGGATGCTGGGGAGGACAGGGAACTCAGTGGGGCACAATAATGCCACAGAACCCACCCTCCCAAACATCCATTTTCTCCAGGAGGGCACTGATCTCTGTAGTCTGGAGATGCTCTGTAATTCCGGGGGATCCCCAGGTTCCACCTGGAGGTTGGCATCCCTAGGCTGTAGCCTGTCCTCTGCTGTTTTCACATCTTCAAACCACCCCATGAAGTCGCAATTGGCTCTGTTTTGAAACTTATGAACCAGGTAAGTAACATTATTTTTACAACAGAGCCCATTGTGGGTCCATGAAAACAGTAGAGGGGAATGCTACCGCCACTTCTCCCTACGTGCTTTGGTCACAAATGGAAAAGAGCTAGCGTGCATCTGGGAGGCACAAAACTCCCACTGTACATGTGATACAAAGTCTTCCTGTTGCTCCTCGACAAACACCATGACTTTGTAATGTGTAGGTGGAGCCTCAAATCATTCATGCTTTCTTCCTAAATATACTGTAAATCAGCATATTGTGGGTTGGATCTCAGCATCTATCAGTGAAAGGCACTGGTGGTTGCTGATCTTCTCACTTTTCCACTCCTCACGGCAGTCACTTGTAACTCTAGGAAGGTTTACTCCTCGAGCCACAGGATTCCACGTGGTATAATAGCCTTGTAGGTCAAGAGGATGCAGTGGGGATGGGAAAGGGGCAACATTGCTCTCTCATGCCTCTTGCATGAGCAACTCTTCACTAAGGGAAGAAGAAGGGAGGGAGGGATTTTGCTTCTTTCTCCCAATCTCCCTCCCTGCTGCAGCCCTCCTAACCTGCCCTCCTGAGACACCACTGTGGGAATAAACTTTCCTGGGGTTGGAAATGTCTGCTGAGGTGTCAGGGAGGGGAGAGTCATGGACCCTTGCAAGGGCTACACAATGCCCATCCTACCCGTCATAACACAGTGTCACAAAGAAATAACCAAATGCAACAATTATAGTCTAGGAAAGCCACTGTTTGATAAATCCTCCGTTGGGGTCCAAGTTACAAAGGCTCCATGAATCAAAATAACACGTTAGCTGCTAAGGTGCGTGACAAATAATGGCAATGCAAGGTCACCCACAAAACAATGAATGGTTATTTCTAATGTCTAAATCCCAGCTATGAAAGAAAAAGCTTCAATATCTGTTGGGATTAAAGACAGTGCAAACTGGGAGCATAAGCTTTATAGCTGCTTTCCCAATATTACTAGCAATCCTACGTCAAAACAATCATATATTTGGGAACAGCAGTATAAGAATTATTAACAACTCCCTTGCTATTAATCAGTTCATCAAATGTATAGCCTTTGAAAGAACTGAGGATGGCATAGGGCTCCTGTGATGTTTTGACAACTCTGTTCCTTTAGTCCACACAAGTGTTTTAGACTGCCCTCATGCGGTGGCTCAAGTGGTTAAGACGCTGAACTGCAGGCTGTGGAAAGTCAGTAGTTCAGCAGTTCGAGACCTGGGTGCTGCATGACGGAGTGAGCTCCCGTCTCTAGTTCCAGCTCCTGCCAACCTAGCAGTTCGAAAGCAAGAAATTGCAAGTAGATAAATAGGTACCACTTCGGTGGGAAGGTAACAGCGTTCCGTGCGCCTTGGTGGTTAGTCATGACCACGGAAACGTCTTCAGACAGCGCTGGCTCTTCGGCTTTGAAACGGAGATGAGCACCGCAACCCTAGAGTCGGATTCGACTGGCTGTCGAGCAAGGGAACCTTTACCTTTACTTACATCCACTCCAGGACTTGGTGCGGGAAGAAGGGAAGTTGTTCTCACTACAGCTCCAGACAGAGGAAGAAATGGAGTTATTAAAATGGACTTCTGTTTGAAACTATGTTGCCTCCTTTTTATGTCTAACATTAAGCATCCAACAGTATCTGAGAAGTCTCCCATCAGGCAGGGATCAGACGTATACCTGCTTCATGTTGCTGAATCACACGCCTTCGTGTTTAACAAGGCAAAGGTTATTGCTATCATTAGTCCACTATTTTAAAAAGATGCAGGAATACCTTATATATGTTCCTTCTGTGCAGACACCTGATAGAAACGTGTGTCTTTATCTTTCTGTGATCTTTTAAATTTATAATTTCCCATCATTCCCCTACCCAGGTGTGTCTCACACTACTTGGTTTGCAGTTGTGAGGCAAGGGCCTGTATCTTTTGCTTTGCTTCCTGCACAGCCCCTAGTTTGTATATGTGTTCTAGAAATACTAAGAAAAACCTGGTAACATGAAAAAAAAGTTATTAAAAACAAGTATATTTCAGATTTCTGCAATCAAAATATGCCATAGATGAATCTTGATGCAGAAACATTTATTTTAGCATGATGGGATTATTTTAAAACCAAAGTGCAAGTGTCTGAAGCACCTTTGAACATGAAAGATATAATTCTCAGTATGCTTGTTATACATACCACAAAGAGTATGAGAAAGCTGAGTTTTCCCTGTTCGGAATTCTAATAAAAAGGAAGAGTAAACACTGAAATTTTGCAAGCTACAGGGATACTAAGAATACTCTCCAGCACATTTGATTGCCAACTTCCAGGTGGGACCTGGAGATCTCCTGAAATTACAACAAATCTCTAGACTACAGAGATCAACTCCCCTGGAGAATGTGGCTGCTTTGGAGGGTGGTCTCTATGGCATTATATCCCACTGTGGTCCCTTCCCCTACCTAACCCCCATCCCTAGGCTCTGGCCCCCAAATATCCAGGAATTTCCCAACCTGGAGGTGGCAACCTTACACATATTTCCCAAAAGACAATATATATATTTTATTTCACTCCCTGCTGTTCGGGGGGGGGGGGCACTCTGTTCTGCATACCATGGCCCAGAAGCTAGAAGCATATATTTTCACACAGACAGATGCATTCAAAAGTGATCAGGATTTCTAACAATGTTGGCACCAACCAGGAGTGAGGGCTTCCCATTTAAGGAGCACAACTCATACTGAATATAAATAATGATAGTGTACAGTTATGTATCGTATAACATTTGTACACATACCACACACATGCTAAATACAAAATCAAAGAGATACATATTACCCAGAAGTGTGAAATATCTGTTTGTGCAGTTTTAACTTTTTTTTTTTTTACTTTTCCTTATAGTGACAGTGTGGTCATTTTTTAAACTGTGCTTTGATTAAAATTATGTAGGCCCAGATAAAATTCAAGAGTATACGATGAACACCATATCTACATCAGTAGTAATCTCACACTTAGCTATCTTGAACATATTCTCCTGTTAGCTAATCTGTCTTTGAGTACTGCAGGAAGCTTAAGAGGTTGTATAGCCTCTGTAACCCCATTTTGTAGTTCTGTTGGTTCCTGACCTCTAGTTGCCAGGGAGGATGGCTGGCACGCCCCTCCCAAGAGAACGTTTTCATTCACAGACTCTCCAGAGTTCTTATCTAAAAACCTGACTTGTTTTCCTCCACCACTGAGTACCTGGTGCACGATATGGCTTGGCTTTTCTCAGTGTCTAGGATGTAGCTTTGATTATGCTATTCTTGACTTGTAGCCAGCAATTAGAATATAAAGTGTTTCCTTTTAGCTATTTGTCTTGTCTCAGGTTTTGGCTGGCTTCACAGTGTGCATGTTTGAGACCCAATGGATGTTAGCCTGCTATTTCTGTAAGTTTGATGATTTATTAAAATCTCATTGTAAGCAAATCTGGGTCTTGTATATTGTTTCCTTGGGATTTCTGTGAACTTCGGAGCTTCTGGCCAGGGCTCCAAACAGAGGTTAAAGGATAACTTAACACAGATATGACAGGGACCATCCATGTGTATTTATTTATAAGTTTGCCAAAAAATTGCTTAAAGCAATACAGTGCAGTGAAGTGAGATGGCAGAGTTAGCTCCCCTTGCTGCATATGGTTTTGTTTTAGGGATGCCAGCCTCCAGGTGGGACGTGGGGATCCCCTGGAATTACAGCTCATCTCCAGACTACAGAGATCAGTTCCTTTGGAGAAAATGGATACTTTGGAAGGTGGACTCTATGGCATTGTACCCCACTGAGGTCCCTGTCCTCCCCAGGCTCCACCCCCAAATCTCCAGGTGTTTCCCAACCTGGAACTGGCACTCCTCCCCCCCCCCACTCTCCACTGGTGGCCAAGGGGGGCCTGGCCACTCTAATGACCGTCCAAAGCATTCATTTTCTCCAGGGAAACTGATCTCTGTAGTCTGGAGATGCGTTGTAATTCTGGGGGATCCCCAGGTCTAGGGTTGCCAAGTTGAAATTTCTGTTTACCGGGGGACTCCCGTGCCGCGGCTGGAGTGCGCGCACGCTGTGTGCACGTCACCCGGAAGTGACGGGACGCCGCCGGGCACACTGGGGCGAGGCCACGACCATCCGAGGGAAAACCATAGAGTTTTCCCTCGGATGACAGTGCCCCCCCCCGCGTGCCTGGCGTCGTCACGTCACTTCCGGGTGACGCGCACATCGGGGTGGGGTTCCCCCCGGGGCCCGATCTGCCGCCGGCGGGGAACGGGCCTCTGGGGCGGGGGTTTCCCCGCCCCCCGGGGGGACTTGGGAAGCCTACCCAGGTCCCACCTGGAGGCTGGCATCTCTAGTTGTAACAACAACAAAGGTACAGCACACAGTAAAAAGTGACACAAAACTAGCAAAACAACTGTGTGCTATATTTCCTGCAACATATTCATAAAGGAGACTTCATTAAAGTGTGATAAATCTATTATATGAAGTCAATATGCCCATACAATCCATCCTCTGGTCTTTCCTCAGGAACAAAGAACCACTGCTGAGAATCCCTTTTCAGAATCCTCTGTTACAGGACCAAAACATTGTAGTAACCTATAAGGGTGCTGGTTAGAGCTAGGGAGACCTTGCCCAATGTTGAAAATATAGAAAAGCACTACCTTGTAAGGAACTGAAAAGGGATTCTCAGCAGTGGTTCTTTGTTCCTGAGGAAGGACTAGAGGTCTGAAGCATTGAAAAATTACCTGGGAAAAGTGTTGGACTTTCTATATATAATTCTGTGTATTTACTCTTTGGCCTCTGTATTTTCCTATGATGGATTGTATGGGCCCATTGACTTCATATAATAGATACATTACACTTTAAATGAAGTCTCCTTTATGAATATGTTGCGGGAAATATAGCACACATCTCTAGTTGTAAGCCTGGGGGGCCTCCAGCTCTCACCTGGAGACTGGCAACCCTTCTAATGGCATAATAGCTGTCTGAGGTCCCTCCCTTCCCCAAACCATGCCCTCCCCAGGCTCCACCAGAAAATCTCCAGGCATTTCCCAATCTGGATCTGGCAACCCTAAATGTTTACATTTAACAAATCAATGCTGTTAACACAGTATATCACTGTGATTCTATGTGTAACCTCATTTGTAGATAACGTTAAGTCTATTGAGGCACTTCGTAAATGTAAGGCTTGGGCCACATCCCCCCTACCCCACCCCCTTGATAACTCCTGCTTACAATACAAATGCAGTCTTTTAAAATGAGCACGTCTAGTGTCTTCCACTACTGACCTCCAAAGGCTTCTGTGATGGCCATGCTTTCAATCCCACCTCCTAGCAGTTTACTAGAGCAGCAGATGGGAGGGAGAAAGAGAAAGTAAGCAAAACAGGGTATAAAACAAGAAAGGCAACGTGAAAGGATTTTTTGCTTCAACTAAATATGTGCCCAAGATTTATTTTTATTTTTTAGCATATTGGAACAGTATGGAATGGTGTTTGCAGTTAGCTGGCTCCTGCAGGAAGCTGCTTGTTATTTTAAAGTGCCTTATTTTATATACACTGAATACATTCTGTGGAGTTGCGCACGCACTGTGACATTTGATGTGACTAGGATATTCATCTAAGAATGATCTTCAGACTCAAAAGATAGGAAATATTTCTCACTTACAATGTAAGCATGGCACAAAACTGGCAATCCTCATACACTTAAGGATTGCAAATCACCCGCATGCTGAAAAATTAAACAATCGGTATAACAACAAATCACAGAAACTCTTTTGATGAATCTACTAGTAAGGTTGACTGTAAAGACTACATTCCCCAGCAGCCTCCACCACTAGTGCCATTTCTGGGGAAGAGGAAGCATGGAGAGAGGCTGGAAAAAGGGGGGGGGAGTCTAGAAGCAGATCTCTGAGCGAGCACTAGTGGGAACTCTTACTGATTAAAAACAAAGGTAACTCTGAGATATGCAGATAGGTGTCAGCAAAACCCTGGAACAGAAGGACCCAATGTACCTTTGAATCTGCAAGTGGCCATTGAGTTGGTAACTTCAGAAGCTTTGTTATAACTTTAATCAGGGCTATTTTGGGGCAGGAACGCACAGGAACGGAGTTCCGGCTGGCTCCTGAGTTGGCCACGCCCAGCAGGAACTCATTAGCATAATAGGCCACACCCAATAGCAGGAACTCATTAGGATTGGCTACATTAGGCGTGTGTGGCCTAACATGCAAAGGAGTCCCTGCTACAAAAAAAGCCCTGGGTTTTGACCACAAACAAGGTAAACAGAATAAGAAGGGAAAGGTGGGTGTGGCTGGATGACCACACTTCTGGTAACATGGGGGTGTGGCCTAATGTGCTAATGGGTGGTAGGGTTGCCAAATTTTATTTTCCTACCGGCGGGGGATCTTCTTCCTGGTCCTGGAGCCGGCTGTGGATGCGTGTGCGCGCGCGCGCCGCCAGGACATCACCGGAAGTGACGTCACACGCTGGGCGGGGCCACGCCGTT